CTGCATTTTGGTAATTTCAGTATGTGAAATCTTTATTGATTTGTTTCCTTGTATGTTTTTTGCTATGAGGTAGCCCTTGGCTTTGGCGTTTCCCTCTGTCTCTCTGGTTCTGGGTCCTGGAATGAAAGTTACCTAGAATCATTTCTCAGAGTTTATAGCTGAGGAAATTGTGGCAGATTAATGGCCATGGTGACTCAGAAATCTTGTAATTATTGGGAATGAAATGTAAACTAAAATAACCTGGCTTCAGAGCTATGCTGTTGTCCATGAAATGTAGTTAACTATCCTTCAGAAAGTAGCAGTTGTGTGGAAACTGTTCATGGTTGTTCAATAATCCCAGCTTCTGTGGGAAAGACTGTTCTGACCTCTGCTGAATTGCCTTGATCTCTGTTTTGAAGATCAGGTAATGTTAGAGTTTGTTTCTAGACTGAGTTGATTCTTACCCTTACTCTTGTACTAAAAGCTTGGTTAGTATAATTTTGTAGTGACACATTTTCTTTTACTGGAAACCTTACTAGGTTTAAGTAAGGGGAGTTGTATTTATTAGCCTCCAAGCCATTTAATAGTAGTAATAATAGATGTATGCTGAGACACCAAGCTAAGTGTTATAATCACATTGGCTCATTTCATGTGTCAACAGATGATAATTATTAGTGGGTCAGATTCTGTGAATACTTGGGGAATGTTCTTCCTCAAGGATCTCACTTTGGTGCCAAGTTGAACTAACTGGAGAACTATGGCAAATATAGAATTAAAATATATTTAGAAAATGTATAAATGGAGCAATCTGGTTTGAGAGTAGTGAGTAGTGAGAAGGTAACTTTAATCCTCATACCAGCCTGTATAAAGTTGACAGTACAGTCCCATCAGACATGGAGAGGCTTGACTTCTAGAAACTAGGGGATATGTTTAATGTTACACAGGAAACACAGAATTGATTTATTAAAAATAAACTTAATAGGTAACAAATGAAAAATGATTACAGGCTTAGTAACTATTTTTTAAAAGTACATTATGTTGTGATTTTCTTTTTATCTTTTCTCTAGAAATAGGTTGTTGGGGGTCAAAGTTCAGTCCTTAATACAGTTGAAAATTGGGTTCCTGGAGCAGTAAAATTGTATGTGCACTGGACCTGCATGTGTACTGGACCTGCATGTGTGATTTTCATGAATGACCACAGCTCTTATCAGATTCTGAATGTGGTCTGTGCTCACAGCGAAGGATCCTTGAATTAGCAGAAACCAGACTGGCTTTGTGTCTCACACTAAAGTTTGTTTCTCTTTGCCAGGAGGGTAGCAGAAAACAGAAATTGTTTATTTATTTTGTTAGTTTAAAATACATTTTATTTTGACACAATAATTTTGTGTGCACTGACCTATGAAAGTGGTTCTTATTTTAAAATAAGACTTAGTAATTCAACTTTAGAATTGATTGTGATTCTGTCAGCAGTTCCTCATATTGTAGACACTCCTGAGTTTTTTGGGTTTACCTTTCCAAGGGTCAGTTCCTCTTTTTTAATTCATTGCCAATCAAAGCTCTTATCCCTTCCTAACAAAGTATGTAAACGAAAAAAAAAAGTATGTAAACATATTTTCTTCCAGAATTAATTTCATCTTGCACTTTTATCATATGGAGTTTTATCTGTACATTTTATTGGCCTCTCACTTTCTATAACATCCAATGTCTGTTTGCCTTTTGGAGTCCACCAAAAACACACCACCACCACCACCACCACCACCACCACCACCACCACCACCACCAAGAACATACATACATTCTCTCCTTCATTGTAGCCAACATTCTTTCTTTCTCCCAATATATACTTTGAATTGTATTAGCTTCTTTTAGCTTTCCAAAACTGTGGTAGCTATTCCCACTCCTTCCCAGTTAACTGTTTTGTCTCCAGTGACTCCTGCTGCACACTGTCTGTGGTGGCTCCTGTTCCCATCCTCTATTTTTATGTAGTACCTTGCTCACTCCTTTCCATGGTTCACCTTCTGTCCTTCAGTCCCTTAAGAGTAGTTTTTCTTTGAAACCTCTCTTTTATTTCCCAAGCTGGAAGTAAGCTTTCTTTCTTCATTTGAGCATCTGTAGCACGTTAGCTGAACCCCCGAGGTTTTTAACCTTTTTTTATATTGTATTAGATACTTATGTACTCTGCACTTTCTTAAAGGCAGACACGGTTCCTGACTTTATAGGTATCCCAGTATTTCCGCACACCTCACTTCAGGTCCAATTTTATAAATAAGGTCTTGGCAAATTTTTATTGAATGAATACCATTTTATTTTAAAGTATAATTTAACCTTGTTATACTTTTGAAAAATTTATTACTTCAGAATTCTTAAATTTATTTATTAAAAAACCTTAACAATTCTTTAAAATTATAAATAAAAAGGCTATAATGGCCATAAAGTAGGGATACATGAAATAAGAATCTAAAACTGTGTGTGTGCATGCCTAAGTATGTAGAAGCCAGAGGTTGATGTCAAGTATCTTCCTTACCTTCTGTCTACCTTATTTTAAGACTGTCTTTTACCAAACCTGGAGCTCACTGTTTTAGTTAGACAGGCTGGCTAGCAGGTCCTTATATCCACCAGTTACTGCCCCACTGTTGCTGGAGTTACAGACGGGCACCAGGGCTCCAGCCTTTACATGATCAGGTTATCGTGCTTGCCCAGCAAGCAGTTTACCCACTGAGCCATCTCCCCAGACCTAAATTACCTTTTTTATTTATTTTTTAATTTTTATTTTTTTGGTTTTTTGAGACAGGGTTTCCCTGTAGCTTTGGAGCCTGTCCTGGAACTTGCTTTGTAGACCAGGTTGGCCTTGAACTCACAAAGATGCCTGTCTCTGCCTCCCGAGTGCTGGGATTAAAAGTGTGTGCCACCACCACCCTGCCTAAAACTACTTTTTAAAAAGAACCCAAACTACATCTTTCAAATGTAAGGTGGTCTGGCCTAACTAGAATACAAAGATTAAAACAAGTTCCTTGATACCTATTTCATGTCTAATATTGTTTGTTAAATCAACTGAGATCTTGGAGTATATAAATAATTAGGTGTTCAAAGGCAGGTACCAAAGATGTGGTAGGAAATCTCCATGTGTGAGAGCAGCCTTTAGCAGCCTAGAACCACTGACTGCATAACCAGGTAGGCTCAGGTAGTTGGAATAAATTAGAACCTTGCTTTGTATCTGACTTTAAATAGAGGAAATTAGGAGTGAAGAGTCCTAGAATAACTTTTAATTTTTACAAATAATTTCTTTTTAATTGATTCCTGGCTAAGTCAGAAAGTTTCTGTGGCATTGGCATAACTGGTCATATTTACTCTGAAAATGAAGCCTCTGGTAGCGTGCAATAAGGCCTTACTGTTTTTTTGTTTTTGATTTTGTTTTTTAAGAAAGCAGAAAAAAAGAAAATAGAAAAGCTGAAAGTAATAGAACATTGAGTGGCTTGAAGAGGGTTGAAGAATAAAGAAACTGATTTTAGTCCTGTCACTGTTACTTTCTAGCCATGTGATCTTGGTCACTTTACATCTCTAAATCTTTTTTTTTTTTTTTTTTTTTGAGCTGTGAAATGGGGTAAAAACAACCATGTTTTGTAAGGATTAAATAGAATAATTCCAGTAAAGCATTTGGCTTGGTGGTTCACTATTGTGTGCAGTAAAAGCTTTGGGCGCTTTCACTACGTGGTAGCACTTGTACTACTTTAGTATAGGTATTACAGCTTACACTTGGAGCTGTAGAGCCTGTTACCTGTGATATGTTTGGCAGGTCGTGTTGTGGTTATGAAATTAGCATATGTATCCTCGTGTTTATGAGTGACTACAGAGTAAGTGGAACTAAATATTCTACCTCTAGTGTTCCCATGGAAATTCTTGCATAACCCAAATAAAACAAACTGGCCAGGGCTGAAATTACAGAGGCTCTCTTTGTATTAGAAAACAGGCCCCATCCATTTGCTCAGCAACTGCCAACTGTTGAATGTATAAGAAGCTGTATGATTGTTGAGAGAGGGACAGTCAGTTTTCTTTAAGGACGTGACCCTTGATGAGTTGACCCTACTCTAGTGGAAGACTACACATCTAAGAGTATATGGGCAGCGCCAACTGTACTCATGAGTTTAAGAACTTAATTGTATAAAATCTTTTTGTTTTTTGAAATAAGGTCTCACTATATAGCTCTCGCTTTTCTGGAACTCACTAAGTAGACCAGGATGGCCTCGAACTCCCAGAGATCTGCCTGCCTCTACCTCCTGAGTGCTGGGATTAAAGGCATGTGTCACTATACCTGGCATTGTATAAAATCTTAATGTTTACTCTTAAATCAGCTTGGACTTACTTAAATATTGTATATGATGCTTTATGAATTCTTTGTGTCTTTATGAGAGAATACTTGCTATTTTCAGTTTGGATTTACAGTTAGTATCTGTTCTATTGATCAAGATTTTGCCTTCTTATGCATAATAACTGTTATTTGAAACAGCTCTTTCTCTTTTCTTCCTCTCCTTAGCCCTGGACGGAAGCGGGACTTTTCTCCTGTCCCGTGGAGTCAGTACTTTGAGTCAATGGAAGATGTGGAAGTGGAGCTGGAAAATGGCAAGGATATATCCTCTCAGAGACTGCCTCAGTGTAAGGGCCAGGTGCTAAGACAGACTTGGGTAGCTCCTAAATAGTCTTCCTTCTGCTGTCTGTTTCCATCTATCCCCCACAAGTCCTTTATGTAGCATGGTGTATTACCTGTAAGCCTTTTGCCAAATCCTTTTTGGCTGCAGTTGTCTGACACATTGCAAGGGATTAAGGATTAAATTCCTGAAAGCAATACTCTGAGTCTAGCAAGCCGAAGTGACTGAGTTCCTAGAAACCAAGTACTGAGTCTTCTTCAGGAACAAAGAAATAAGGCACACTGACAGTGTACTCCAAAACAGTCTTGACATCTCAGGAACATCTATATAAGTTCCTTTAAGTCTGCAGTTTGCATAAGGTTATTGCCTGTTCTTTTTTTTTTTTTTAATCAGTATGTTATCGTTAATAAAACCTTCAATCTGTTATCTTTAACTGTTCATACACTTTTCGAGTTTACAAGAGTGGTTCTGAGGGTCCAGTCCTGCTGCTTCTCCATGGAGGAGGCCATTCTGCCCTTTCCTGGGCAGTGTTCACGGTAAGTTGTTGGTAATAGAAGCTGGTGTGTTGTATGATTGTTTTCTCTCAGGTAGACTTGACTAGTTCTTTCCAGGCTAATTCATTGCTTCGGGAGAAGGAGAGGAGAGAGTAGACTGCAAAGCTTTAACATTGTGTGCTCAAGGTCCCTGTTCTTTAAGCCAGGTTCTTGTAACATTTTGTATGTATATGTCCTGGGGCTAGGGTTGTGGAATTTGTGCCCTGTAAAAATGGGGGTCTTTATCTCAGTAATTTAAATATCCAATGAGTAGATGTTTTGTTTCAGATGCTTTAGATTATCACTCACTTTGTTTTCTTCAGAGCCCCCAGGATCCCTTGCACATAGAGATGTTTAAGAAGTATTTGGAAAATATTTCTTATTTTTGAATATTTTTATTGTTTGGCAATTTCATACATGAATGCAGTGTATCTTAATCAGATCCAACCCAAATCCCTCCTACTTCTTCCAACTTCATGTCTTCTTATTTTTTTAGGTAACCCATTGAGTCTAGTTAGTGCAGCTTGTAAGTGCATGGAAGTGGTGCCATCTACAGGAACATTCGCAACCTAGTAGTGACCACATCCTGGAAGAAAAATGACTTCCCTTCCCTAATAGCCATCAATTGCCAATAGGTCCTCAGCTAGGGGTGGATCATCATGTAGCTCTCTCTCATCCTTGATGCAATATTAACTGTCTTCTTTTTAAAGTAATGCTTTATTTTATTTTACTTTAAAAAAACAGTTTGTATATGTGTGTGCACATTTGCACCTTTGAACTCTTGGGAAATGGCTCTTGGTTTATGGTGCTTAGGTCTACAGTACAGAGTGTGGGCTGATACGAATACTGCCCTTTGTAAATCTTGCTCTCATCTTTGACTGGAGGAAAAGGCAGCCCACATGCAAAGAAATACTTCTAAGAAAGATACTAGCAACACCTTTGCATAAAAAGAAGTGATCTCTTCTTGTGTGTCAAGCAAATATACATACTCCCTCTGTTTACCACTGAAGGACAAAAACCAGGTACTAGAGCCAAATGGTTGTGAATTAACCCTAGGTGTTTCATTTTGATCCTGGAGGCAGGAATGATTGGGATTTAGTATTCAATCCTTGGAACTGAAGGATTTGACTATTGTTTGCTGTTTCCTTCTCTTACTCTAGGCTATGCTTATGATTTGCCTGCTGGCACCAAGCTCTCTCATGTCTATAGACTAGTGCTGTCAAGTAGTTCTAAAATAAATATTTTTTCTAGTAGATATATTGCATAGGTTGAAAACATAAGTGAAATTATTTTTAAGAATATTTAGTTTGAATCATTGTATTCAAAGTGATATATCTTGATCATTTCAACAGGTAATCAATATAAAAATTATTGACATGGGTCAGTCCTTTTTTGTTAATGCCAATAACACAATACCACATATGAAGTGGTTTATAAAAGGTTTATTTTGGCTCATAATTATTTTATCAGGGGGTCCCTTTTTTAATTAAAAATCTTTTCTCACACAATATATTTTGATCATGTTTTCACTTTTGCTAATTCCTCTCAGATCCTCCCTCCCCCCTAACAATTCAATTTTATGTTCTTTCTTTTTCTCTTTCAAAAGGAAAAATATAAAACAAAAACTCACAAAAATGAAAAAAGTCAAAACAAGCAAAAGACCAAATAAGACAAATTTAAAAAAAATGCCCAAGCAAAGCAAAATTAAGCAAAAAGTCTACAAAAATATCATTGAGTTTGTTGACGTGCAGTTGATATACCAAGTGAGATTTCATTGGAGAAAAGTGACTTTTCCCTTTGCCAGAGAATGCCAATTACAGGTAGCTTCTTGGTTAGGTGTGGGATCAGTGCTGGGGTCTCATCTGTGCAGTCAGTCCCGTGCACATCGCCATTGTGTCTGTGAGTTCTTATGTGCATCAGTCCTGTGGTATCTGGAAGACGCCGTTTCCTTGGTGTCATCCATCACCTCTGGCTCTTAGTCTTTTCACCTCCTCTTCCATATAAACCCCTGAGCCTCACTGGAAGGGCTTTGATGAAGATAGCCCATTTAGGACTGAGTGTTCCAAAGTCTCTCACACTCTTCACATTGTTCAGTTGTGTGTCCCTGTGTTCTCATCTACTGCAAAAGCAGCTTCTCTGATGTGGGTTGAGCAAGCCACTGGTCTGTGGGTTTAACAGTATGTCATTAGGAGTTATTTTATTGCTGTGTTCCTTTAGCAGAATAATAGTAGGTTTTTCCCTAGGCCCAGGGCCTATCTAATCTTAGGTTGTTGGCCACTTTGGCAGTGTCAGATATGGGTTCCATCTCATGGAGTGGATCTTAGATCCAATCAGAAAGTGGGTGATTACTCCTGTAACATTTGTGCTACTATTGTAGCGTATCTCTTGTAGGCAGGTCACTGTTGTAGGTCACAGGTTTGTAGCTGGGAGATACTGATGATCTTTTCCCCCAGGAGTGTGCAGAGAGTACCTTCAGTAACATGGATACTAGTCAGTAGGGATGAAGCTTCTAGTTAGGCACAAGCTCAGCTTCTTCATGTTCAATGACGTAAGTGTTGTCTTCAGCAGTAGGGCCTTATCTTCAGGTTGTGAAGAACAATCAATAATCTCCTTGCTGTTTGGAAGTTTAGATGGGGCCACTTTGGCCAATGGCTCAACAAGATGTAACCCATTCATGGCACAGGAGGCTTTACTGGGTAGCATAAGATGTCTAGTTGAGACAATGTCTTCCCCTACTACTTGGTGACTCCATTCAGATTCCTTTCATGTATGTATCTATTTTAGGAAGCTTCTACAGTAGGTCTCCATATGGCTTTCCAAATGGCCTTTAGTGTTAGTTGTCCCTCCCCATATTCTCTCCTTTATTTAACCTTCTCTCCCATCCCCCTCCCTATAATATCCTACCATTTGTCTCTCTGTAACACTATAGTCTGTTTCCTCTTCCTTGGGAGATCCTCTCCTCTCCCTAGTCCTTTACTAAGTACTTAACCTCTGTGGTTATTTGGATTGCAGCACACATATCAAAAGCTTAAAATTTAACATTCACATATAAAAGAAAACATAAAATTTGTCCTTTTTTTTTTTTTTTTTTTTTTTTGAGACAGGGTTTCTCAAAACCTGTAGCCTTGGCTGTCCTGGAACTAGCTCTGCAGGTCAGACTGGCCTCAAACTCAGAGATGTGCCTACTTCTGCCTCCTGAGTTCTGGGATTCAAAGTGTATGCCACCACCACCACCACCCAGCTACCTGTGAATTTCTTAATTTCATTTTTCTTAACAGTTGAATAATACTCCTTTATGCAAATGTGCTACGTTGTCATTATCCATTCATCTGTTGATGGATATCTAGGCTGTTTGCAATTTCTGGCTATTATGAATAGAACAGCAGTGAGCATGGTTGAGCAAGTGTCTCTGTAATAAAATGTAAAGTCTTTTAGATGTATGCCCAAGAGTGATATAAGCTGAATCTTGCAGTAGATCGATTTCCAGCTTCCTGTAAAACTGCCACACCGATTTCCATAGAGGTTATACCAGTTCACACTCTCAATAGCAGTGAATAAGTGTTCCCTTTCCCTCATCCTCATCAGCATGAGTTGTCATTTATTTTATTGATCTTGGCCAGGCTGGTCTTACTGGTGTAAGATGAAATCTCAAAGTAGTTTAAATTTGCACTTTTCTGGTGGCTGAGGATGTTGAACATTTCTTTAAGTGGTTTCAGCCATTTGTGTCCCATCTTTCAAGAACTGTCCACTTAGTCTGTACCCCATTTTTAAATGGTTATTTGTTTTCTTGATGTTCAGGTTTCAGGTTTTTTACTTATAGATGCAAACCCTGTCAGATGTATAATTGGTAAAGTCCTTTGCCCATTTTGTGGCTGCTACTGTGTCTGAGTGATGGTGTTCTTTGCTGCACAGAAGCTTCTCAGTTTCATGAGGTCCCACTTATTAATTTTGGTCTTAGTGCCTGCACTATTGATCTTCTGTTCAGAAAGTACTTTCCTGGGTCAGTGAGTTCAAGCCTATTTCCCACTTCTATCGTCTTCTATCAGATTCAGGGCATCTGGCCTTATGTTAAGGTCCTTGATCCATTTGGACTTGAATTTTGTGCAGGGTGATAAATATGGATCTATTTGCATTCTTTTACATGCAGAAATCCAGTTTGACCTACACCCTTTGTTGAAGATGCTGTCTTTTCTCCAGTGTATGTTTTTTGCTTCAAAACATATGTGTGTTTTGGGTGTTCACAGGTATATTTACTTATGCCTGGATCTTCAGTTTGATTCCATTGATCAGTATGTCTGCTTTTATACCAATACCATGTTATTTTTATTTCTGTAGCTTTATAATACAACAGGACGATCATGAGATAGAGGGCCTGGTTTACATAGCCATAATTTAGTCATCTGGCCTTCTCCCTCAAGATTTTTATCTTTTACTAATCATTTTCTAAGGGATATGCCTATAAACACTATTGATAGAATAAGTTTTGGCCTCCTAATTCTTCATATTGAGATTGAATTTTGATATGTGAAAATTTTTGGGGAGAGAGAACCCTCAAACCACATCCGAGGCATAACAACATGTATTGCATTTCTTATTATACTATCTTTTTTTAAAAAAGATTTATATTATTTATTTATTTATTATGTATGCAGCCTTTTGCCTGCATGTATTCCTGCCCACCAGAAGAGGTCACCAGATCTCACTATAGATGGTTGTAAACCACTATGTGGTTGCTGGGAATTGAACTCAGGACCTCTGGAAGAGCAGCCAGTGCTCTTAACCTCTGAGCCATCTCTCCAGCCCACTGTCTTTTAAATCCAGTATGGAGTTTACAGACCACACCTCACTGGAGGCAAAGATCATAGCTAATTTATGTCTGGTATGTTATGCATACTTAAGGAATGTTTTGTTCTTGAAATAGTGACAGCATAGGTGTGTGTATTGTAATGCAACTGCACAGATATGATCAGTATGTGTGATCAATAAGTTAGGTCATAAGATCCTGGAAAGCAGACATTGCTTTATTATTCTGGATGTCTTCATGTAATGCCTGCCTGTCATGGAGTTGATGTTTAGTACTCCTTCCTTGAATATGTTGGTATCATTTCCAAACAGTTGATAAGAAGTTAAATGTTGATTGCTATATTCTATTTAAGAAAGCAGGAAACTATGTCTTTTTGTTCATTTAATCTTAATATTATGTAGCTCTCACTGTCCTGGAACTCACTATTTAGACCAAGCTAGTCTCATATTCACAGAAATCTGCCTGCCTCTGCCTCCCAAGTGCTGGAGGTTTTTTTTTTGTTTTGTTTTGGTCTCATATTCACAGAAATCTGCCTGCCTCTGCCTCCCAAGTGCTGGAGGGTTTTTTTTGTTTTGTTTTGTTTGTTTGTTTTTTGTTTGTTTTTCAAGACAGGGTTTCTCTGTATAGCTTTGGAGCCTATCCTGGCACTCGCTCTGTAGACCAGGCTGGCCTCGAACTCACAGAGATCCTCCTGCCTCTGCCTCCCGAGTGCTGGGATTAAAGGAATGCACCACCACCGCCTGGCATCCAAGTGCTGGAGTTAAAAGCCTGCATCACCATGTCTAGCCCCATGCCCTTATTAAATAAGTCATTTATATTTGACTGGTAAAGAAACTGCATAATATGGTTAGAAAAATCTTGAACTCTAGGACACATGGCCAGCAGACATAAAGGGAGGAAGAGGGTTGTGCAGCCTGACTCTCAGATCCTTAAGCATAGACTGCCCTACTCAGTCTCGAGTGCCTTCTGCTTCCACTGTCTAGGAAAATTATTTCACAAAGTTATACTGGTTCTGCCTCATGGAAATATCTTGTTTATTTAATCACTTACTGTCACTCATATCTCTCATGTTGTAAGGTGCTTGCTTGGGTCTATTCCTGCTATTAGATATAGTTCCTGTTCTCTTTTAACTGTTTTTATATTCACAGATATGCTCGAAAGCTTGAATTCTGACCTTTGGAGTCAAGTCAATTGCTAGAGTACTGGCTTTCACGTTGCCATTTTTATTTAGGTGCTGAGATTGTTAGTTTTAGACAGTAGCGTTTCCTCGGTTTAGGATCTCCAAGTGGGCAATCTTTGTTAAATGATAGAAGTTTTGATAATTGAATCAGTGCATAAGTGCTCTATTGATTTGTAACTCCACCAGTGTTTGAAAATGTCAAGTACTTTTGCTAAAAATAAGGAATTTAAGGGAAAACATTACTAATCTGACAAGCAAAAATGATACTTTTAATGAATCACACTGACTACTAATGAAGATACTTTCCAATGGATTTGTTTCTCCATCATATTGTTTTATGTTGTCTTCCCATGCCTCCTAGAATTTGGTACCATGAGCCCCAGGGATCAACCAGAAAATACACAGTCGCATCTCCCTGGATATTTGCCTGTGCTAGATACCCTGCCAGTGCCTAGATGCATAGTCTTGGTCCATTATCTTTACAGTTTAGGCAGGCGAAGATACTGAAATTTAGAGAAATTCCATAGCTGTGACGGCAACAAAATACAAGAGTACCTCTCTGAGTCTAGACAAGAAAAATTACTACATTAAGAGGATAGCACATGTTTGTGAGAATGGATATTTCTGTGCATCTTTAATATTTGTCAATTATAAATACTGTACTTCTTAAGGCTGAAATTATCTTGAGATAATTTATAGAATATCAAAGTGATATGATTCCCCCACATACACACCTTGGAGACTAGGTCTTGTTGTTTAGCTCAGGCTGGCCTTGAACTCTAGATCCTCCTGCTTCAGCATCCCCACTGCTAGAATTCCTGGAATGTGCTACCATGCCTGCTCTGCCCAGATCTTTCTTCCAATCTTGTCTCTAATTCTCAATACCTTAGACTACCCACAGAGTTCCAAAACTTAATAATTGAGATAAGCTTGTCCCCTCCTCTAGTTCACTTAAATCAGACTTTCTAGTAGGTTTATACTGTACTTTTAGATCTTCAAAGCTCCCTAGGTACTGTGTTAGGGCAGGCAAGGTCAAGGACTACTGTGGCTCTGCTGTTTATTGTCTCTTTGGTCCTGGTGAGATACTTAACTCCTTGTCTTGTTACCTGTAAAATGATGAGAATTGTGTCTGAAGAGTTCTGAGGAGTAAGTTAGATAATAATGCATTTTGAAGCTCTTAGAGGTGAATGGTGACCTTGGAAGATTTGATAAACATTCATTTAGAAAGATTAATTTAAATACGTAAACAAGCACCTGCTTTTAATATTCTTGTCTGATGGGCACAGAATGACTATAAATCATTGCCTTCAGGCCAAAGGCTGAAATTGACAGTTACTGACCTCAGATCTATCTTTTGCTTGCTGGTAATAACTTTTGTAAATGTGGAACAGTTAAGCAGATTTGACAAAATTTTGTCTCATAACTTTATATGAGATTTGGTTTTGGCCTAGAAGGTTTTACTACTACCACAGTGCATTTGGTAACTCCCATAAATAACAAACACCTCCCAGGGACAAATAGCACAATATGGTAGGACTTCAGACCTCTGTTGGCTCTAAAGAGATGCTCACTAGGAGTAATAGAAGTAGAAAGCTTGGGGGTTTTTTTGTTTTTTTTTTTTAAGTGTTTTCTGGTTTGATTTCTGATACATGTTTATATGATATTGGTAACTTACCATGATGCTAGTTCTGGTTTTACTAGTAACTTGTTATATTACCACAGACAAATTACTTCCTTTTTTTTTTTTTTTTTTCTGAGCCAAAATAGTATTTTCAACTGATTCACAATCCTTATCTAGGGGATTCAGGCTCTAAAATAAAGAAAAGCTGTCCTGGGTGTAGATGAAAACCTAGGTCAGTATCTGGAAGTGCTTACACTGTGAGGAAAGGCCAGAAAGAGTGATGATTTAAGGAGTGGTATGGGTAAAATTTACTTTTAAGTTGGAGACAGACTACAATGTATACAGAAAAACAGGGAATCGTTCTTTTATTATACTTAAAAGAAAACCTTTGGAATAAGACAAGTTTTCTTTTATTTCTCTTGGGCACCTTGAATTATGATCGGAGTTCATTTAACAAAGTTACCTGTAACTGTGCAAAACCTGTACCTTCCCTCTTTGTTCTTTCCCTTCTAGGCAGCAATCATCAGCAGAGTACAGTGTAGGATTGTAGCTCTGGATCTTCGAAGTCATGGTGAGTACAGCTTCTCGTGGCCACTGACCCAATGCGGTCACCCAGATGCTTAATAGGCCCAAATGTTGGCAATGTTAGTTGTCACAAATGAACCTAGTGTACCCATTTGGGTCTTTTGGGAGGAATCCTAGCTTGTAGGTAGACTGCTATTATTACCCTCTTCAGAATAGCTAACCATTACGATTTGTCTGCAATATAGAACATCCTTGCTCAATCTGTCCTTGAATATCCAAAGTCCCTATTTCATTACTCCTAGTTTTGTGATTCTTATCACTGAAAATTTTATCTTAAAAATATTTTCTTTTTAGGAGAAACAAAAGTCAAGAATTCTGAAGACCTGTCAGCAGAAACGATGGCAAAGTAAGGAAGCAAACACTGATAGATTGCCTGAACCTTGTCACCGTTGTAAACTGTGGTACAGTTTTATCACGATGCTGGTGAAATTGTTCCATAGTCATTAACACATAGATTTCACTTCTGTTCTCTCTTCTTAGTTTATCCTTTCTATTTATTCTCAAAGGCCACCTCCATCGTTCTCAGCATACCCAGTCATCACATAAAACACTTATTTAGTTTGTGTAGGCTTTTGAAACATTTCCTTCTGTTGATAGAGCTGAATGGAATGTGAGTGTCTTTTTTTTTTTTTTTTCCCATATTGTTTTGGAGCCTGTCCTGGAACTCACTCTGTAGACCAGGCTGGTCTTGAACTCAGAGATCTGCCTGCCTCTTCCTCCTGAGTGCGAGGATTAAAGGTGTGTGCCACCAACGCCCGACCCTGAGTGTCTTTTATGGACTCATATTTAGAAAAGTATTTGAGTACAGGAAGTCTTGAAGGCACATTAAGGTTGCCTATATACATTTATTGTCTAGTATCACAGGATGGTGAGGTCAAAGTATGGAAGAATACCTACTTAGTATTGTATATGCCAGAGTCTGTGTGTTTGCTCACCAGGGTAACGTGAGAACTAGCAAACAATACAGGTACTCTGGACCTACCTGAGACCTGCTGAATCGGTATTTTTAAAAGTTAAATCTAGACATACAATATACTTAAAATATTTTTATTATTTATGAATATGGCTGTTTTACCACATTTACTTAGTACCTGCAAAAGTCAGAGGAAGATGCCAGATGTCCTAGAACTGGGATTTCAGACAGTTGTGAGCTACCATCTAGGTGCTAGAAGTTGAATATGCATCTTCTGGAAGAGAAACCGGTGCTCTTAACTGCTGACCTATCTCTACAGCCCTGGTGCTTATAGTCTTAAAATAGCCTATAAAGGAATCTGATGTAGGCAGTCCTATAAACGGCATTTAAGAACCGTTGCCTTTTATAAGAATAAATTCCAAGTGATTGATCAATTGTTATCAGCTTGGGTAAACACTCTTTTCCTAAGCTTAGATATGATGTTGTTGATGCATTCTGTTTATGTGGTTTTATGTGTATGAACATTCTGTCTACATGTATTCCTTTACACCAGAACAGAGCATCAGATCCCATTATAAATGATTACAACCACATGAGGTTGCTGGGAATTGAACTTAGGACCTCTAGAAGAGCAGCCAGTGCTGTTCTGTTCTGTTTTGTTTTCTCACAACAGGGTTTCTCTGTGTAGCTCAGGCTGTCCTGGAACCCTCTCTGTAGACCAGGCTGACCTTGAACTCAGAGATCCACCTGCCTCTGCTCTGCCTCCCCAGTGCTATGATTAAAGGCATGCACCACCACTGCCTCATTGCAGCCAATGTTCTTAACCACTGAGCCATCTATATAGCCCCAGTTGTCATGCATTTTAGACCTTGTCTACCTTAATACGTTAACAACTTTCATAGAGAGTGTCTTAACTCAATTAATGCATATTTTAAGGTGTGGAATTTGATGTCTTCCAAAACATTTTATTTTATTAATTTTATCCTTCCCCACTAAAATTTTGTTAGAATTGCAAATTATTGTGGAGTTTATACATTGATATTTGTTCTAAATCTTAATAAAAGATACGTCCAAATAATATAATCATAGCATACATGGCTTGAGAATAATTAATTGAACCTCTAGTACATGTCTGTCTGTGCATATACATATATCTTTATATAGGAATGAGCATACTTTTTTTTCTGTTCTGTTGATATATAGGAATACTACTTGGTTTTACTTTTCTGAAACCGTATAAATCTCCTACATTACTTTTTCCAGAGACTGTTCCTTATCTAAGTCATCTTTGTTTTTGAAGTTTACTAGCAGTCTCTGAGCCAAAGCATCATGGGGTTGACTTCATGGAATCACTCTGGATCCACAGTGCTAGATTCCAAAAGAAAGGGCTTTAAATATACTAAGCGTGGTAGCAGAAATCAGAAGGTTTTTTGGTTTTTTTTTTTTCTCCCTTTGGTGGAAATGCAGTGATATTTTGGTGGACCCAATTAGCTTAATTGACTTGGTTATTTTTACAGGTAAATATGTCTGAGTTTCTTCCTTGTGGAATAGTAGTAAGGACCCTTTTAGACAAGGTTGCTGAAGAATTACACTAGATGACACAGAAAGCTCATAGTGCATGATGGGAACTTGCCTTCCATTTCTGCATCACTGAGACCACAGATTTGGTGATTCATAAAGAATGTTGGTTTATTTAGGCTCAGTGTTCTAGAGTCCGAGAAGTCTAGAGCCTGATGCTAGTCTTGAATTATAGCATGATGGAGGATTTCACATAGTGAGACAGCTGTGAGTCAGGGAGAGTGCTCTTTATAGCCTGTGATCCACTTATTAATCTGTAAAGGGTTAATTCACTCAGGAGGCAAGCCCCTTATGACCCAGTCACTTTTGTAAGTCCTACCTTTACTGTAGGACTAGAACAAAAGCCAGTAAGAATGAACACTGATTATCTTTATCGTTCTGGCTTTTTTGTTTGTTTGTTTGGTTTGGTTTGGTTTTTGAAGACAGGGTTTCTCTTTGTAACAGCTCTTGCTGTCCTGGAACTTACTTTGTAGACCTGGCTGACCTCAAACTCAGTGATCCACCTGTGTCTGCCAAGTGCTGGGATTAAAGGCATATGTCACCAACTCCCAGCAAAATTGTTGTGAGCTGGCTTGTGGGTGTTAGGAACTGAACCTGGGTTCTCTGGAAGAACAGCAGGTCCTCTTAACTGCTGAGCCATCTCTCCAGCCTCAGTAATGCTTAATTTTTATCAATGTTTATTTGTTTTTCCAACAGATAAAGTGCTAACTTGCAAATATAATATATGAGTTTGAGAGAGACATTCAGTAATCATAGAAACACTGAATAAATTGTAGTTTTTCCTTTCACTTATATTACTTTACCTTTCACAGGGTGTCTTGTCTTTAGAAGCAATGCTGCTTGAAGGAAGCTTAGGGTTTTTTGTTGTTGTTGTTGTTGTTTTTCAAGACAGGGTTTTTCTGTGTTGCTTTGGAGGTTGTCCTGGAACTCGTTCTGTATACCAGGCTGGCCTCAAACTCACAGAGATCTGCCTGCCTCTGCCTACTGAGTGCTAGGACTAAAGGCATGCGCTACCAATGCCCGGCGAGTCTTTTCTTTTGAATAGTCCTTTAACTTGTGGATAAGAATTTCACATTCACTTCTTACTCATTGCTCAAAGTAACTCTTGCAAATTATCCTCTGATTTCCATATGTACACACACACACACACACACACACACACACACACACACACACACACACGTAATATAAATAAACTGAGGCTCACAGTCATCTTATTACCCCAAACTTCATTGCATCATACTTGGGAAAACAGAGGCTTAGAGTAAATTATTTCTCCAGAATGCCAAGCTGAGGTTAAACATACAGTTATATGTTTATATGAATGTACTACATGTATAGGATGATAAAATGATGATATAAAGATCAGAAATTGAGAGTTCTTAGTCCTTAGCCAGGCATTTATCTGGAGAACTGGGTGTGTGGCTCTCTGCATAGATACCAGGAACCATGTAAGCAGGCTCATATAGATGTGTTTGTAGGGTGGGTCTGTAGATCTTTACTGTTTCCCACAACTATTAGTTACAGCCCAAAAGAAGGAACTAAGAAAGAAAGGTATTTTTGGTGTCTACCTCCAGCACTCTAAGGTTTCTCTCTTTGCAGGGATGTTGGCAATGTGGTTGAAGCTATGTACGGGGACCTCCCTCCTCCAGTCATGCTGATCGGGCACAGCATGGGTGGTGCCATTGCAGTTCACACAGCATCAGCTAACCTGGTACCAAGCCTCTTAGGCCTCTGTATGATTGATGTTGTGGAAGGTAAGTTTTGGGTTCAGTAATTTATAAGAGATATTCCTGGTACATTATTACCTTGGCCATATTTGTTCTCAGTTTCACTCATCTTGAAGTATGCCTCTATGTCTTTGTGCCTTTATAAAATTATACAACCATTTTCTGTATTACCAGAAACTCTCCATTAACACCTTTTTATGGCTGTATAATATTTCTAATCATATGAATGCCTTTTAATAAAATTTTCTGACTTACCCCGAGAATCTCACTGCTCCTTGAACAAGTTAGCCATACTCACTGTGGTGTGCCACACAAGGAGTGAATCAAGAATTGCTGAGAGCCATAGTGGAAACTGTCGTGAAGCTAGATCTTTATTTTTACCCAAACATCACTGAATTCTGACATTACCAGGAACAAATACATAAGCTGACTCAGTGTGTTAGTTTTTACCACTGTGACAAAATATCTCAGTTAAGCAATCTAAAGGAGAAAAGATTCGTTTTGGTCAGATATCAGAAGTTTTGGTCCATTGCTTTAACCACTGTGACAAAATATCTCAGTTAAGCAATCTAAAGGAGAAAAGATTCATTTTGGTCAGATATATATATATATATATATTTATCAGAATGTGTGTGTCAGAACATCACACAGAGGGAGACTAGGAAGAAACTGTGCTCCCCCAGAGCTTATCCCAGTTACCTGCTTCCTCTAAGTCGGCCCTGCCTCCAAACAGTGTGCATTCAACAATGGATTAATATATTGATAAAGTTAATGTCAATAGTGTCTTCATTATCCAACCAACTGTCAATACACCTTCAATACATAAACCTTGAGGAGGAAGAATTCTTCCTGTGTAAGCAATGCCATTCCATCATTATGAATATGAAGATAAACATGAGTATTGTTCTCTTGATGATACAGGCGTAGGCAACAGTTTGTAGGACTCCAATAGCACAAGGAATAATCTGAAAAATTAACTTCTGGATTTCCATGAAGCTAAGAAGCTTCTGTTTAGAAAAGAAACAATCACCAAAGTGAAAAAGAGATGGCCATCAGAATGGGAAAGGATCTCCGAAAGCTAGATCATACTGGGGATTAATATTTTGTGTGGGTGTGTAAATTAAAACTGTTTTGAGACTCTATTCACCCCAGTCTGGGTGAGTAGACACTTGTCATCAATAAAACAATTGATATCATGTGCTGTTAAGGATATGGGGAAAGAGGGACCCTTATTCATTACTGACTGGAATGTAAATTTGTGTAGCCACACTGTAATTCAATATGGGAGTTCCTCAAAAAATTGGAAATGCAACTACCATGTGACCCAGCTCTACCTTTTTTGGATATATACCTGGAGGACTCTAAGTCAGCATCCCAGAGATACTTACACATCTATGTTTATACTTCCGTGTTCTCACTAGCCAGGAAATGGAACTGGCATAGATGTCCATAATAGATGAATAGATAAAGAAAATGTGGTATGTAGCCATAATGAATTTTTATGCACCCATAAGAAAAATGAAGTAATGACATTTGCAGGAAAATAGATGCAACTGGAAATCATTGTATTAAGCAAAATAAGCCAGATTTGGAGAAATATCATGTTTCCTATCACATGTGGAAACTAAATGTAGAATATTGTGTATGTGTGAGAGAGGGAGGGAGAGCTATAAAGGAGATCATCATGAGAGGGGAGGGAGGTATCCTAAGGGGTGAGTCAGTGTACCTTGGATTACATATGATAGAAAAGCAAAAGAGTGAACTTAACTAGGGGAAGAAAAAGAACCAGCTGGAGTGGGGCATGAAAGGGGTAGCCAGGGAGGGGAGCAATAGAGAACAAGGTAAAATGACATGTATATAATGAAACCCAGTATTTTGTGTGTTAACCTGGAAAAAAAAAATACTTAGTAGATTGCAAAGCAAAAACAGTTTATTATGTGGTCACAATTTTTGTTTAACATCAGGTACAGCCATGGATGCACTTAATAGCATGCAGAATTTCTTGCGTGGTCGTCCTAAAACCTTCAAGTCTCTGGAGAATGCCATTGAATGGAGGTAACCCATAAATCTAAGCTGTCTTTCTCAATTTCAGATGTTATGTTGTAACCTCTCTCTCTCTGTCTTTGACTCAGCTCAAGTATTAAGATAAACAGAAGGTGACTTTCTGTGATAATATGTAAGAAAATAGTTTTAAAGCAGAGTATTTTTAAATACTCTGTTTATAATTGCCTCCGTCGTCTGCAAAGTGTACCTTTCTAATACAGCATCTCCTAGGGTATTAGTAATCATAGGCCACCTGCCATCTAGCAGGTTTTGCCCTGAAGGTGAAAACTTGGACTATGTGGTCTTCAAAGCCTCTTCCACTTCTGAAGCTCCATGGTTCTAGATTCACTTTCTGTGTCTTACAGAAAATGGTGAAGAAACAGTAGGTGCAGTTTCTGTTCTCTAGAATAAACAGTACAGGTACAGGTTCTGTTCTCTATAATGACAGGACAGGTACAGGTTATGTTTTCAGATTAAGTTTTTCATTTATGTGTATCTGTGTGTCACACAGATACACAAGTGCCAATAAAGATTTGTATGTGGATACCCACAGAGGCCAGAAGAGGGATCAGATCCCTTGGAGCTGGAGTTAAACAAGGTTGTGAGCTGCCTGACATGGGTGTTCTCGTCCCTTGGAGTACAGCAAGCACTATTTAACCTCTCAGCCATCCCTCCAGCCCAGCAAACTTTTGTGATAAAGATCTTAGACCAATCCTGAAGGAAGAGCCTAACCTGATGACATCTTAAAGGCCCCATCTCTACTGTAGCAGTGAGAATCCAGTTCCTAGGGGATGAGCTTTGGGCACCCATTCCAACTAGAGCAGCATATAAGGCCCTAGAAGCTGGCATATGCCATCAGCCCTGCTCTGTCACAGTCCTCCTGTGCTGTCCACTGTGTTCCTTGCACTCATTCCCCAGTGCCTTCAGCTTCACAGGGAGCTGGCTGTCTGACAGTCCAACTGTCTGCAGTGCTCTGCTGTGCCCTCTTTTTGTGGTTAACTTCTCCTATTCAGTATGGTAGAACGTGGGCAGACTTTTTCAGCTTCATAATTGGAAATAAAACACTTCCTTGAACCTTGTTCTATTGTTATCAGTGTTACCTGTGCATCCTCTTCCTTCTGTGCTGTTTATGCACCCTCTGAGATGCTGCAGTTTCTCTACTTACAGTTGTAGTGGCCAGGAAAAAGTGGCAGTTGTCTGCTCAGTGGCACATGGTGACTGCAGCTTTCTGTTAGCTCCCACGGAATCTAAATGACTCCTCCTGGTGTTGTGCTGAGGTGAGTGCTGAATAACCTCTTTCCTTTCTCTTTTCTAGTGTGAAGAGTGGCCAGATTCGAAACCTAGAGTCTGCCCGAGTCTCAATGGTCGGCCAAGTCAAACAGTAGGTCTCATCTCTTTGCCTGGTTAGTGGATAAAAGGCAGGAGAGAATTAGGGCTCCTTTGTTTCTACACTTACTCTGCCATATTGGTAAATGCCTTCACTATTTTAGATAAAATTACAGCTAAGTTCTGTTAGGCTAGCCATGAAGATGGTTTTCCTAGGTTTTTTGTTATTGTTATTGTTGTTTTGTTTCATTTTGTTTTGTTTTTAGAAACCCCAAAGCCTGGTAGTGTTTTAAGTACTAGATTACGTTAGCACAGCTCTTTCCTATTGTAAGAGTGAGCATTTCAGTGAGTAAACATTTAAACTAAGTATCTATCCTAGTGTTCCTGTGTTAGCAGCTATGGTGTCACTGAGCCCAACCCATTATGAAACCCAAACCCAAGTATGTAAAGTCTGGCAGAGCTAGAGTAGAAGCTAGATTCAAAGGCTGGGCTAAAGTTACTCAGCCTATTGATCTTTCTTGGTGGATATGCATGAGTCCTTTGTAAACCATAAAACAGGAGTATAGGGTTAGATAAAAAGGAAAATGGCGTCATGGAGTGCTTGTTATTGCTGGGGAACTATTGATCTTTCTTGGTGGATATGCATGAGTCCTTTGTAAACCATAAAATAAATGTTACTTGAGAAAACATCATCCACTAGGCCAAACAGGAGTATAGGGTTAGATAAAAAGGATAATGGCGTCATGGAGTGCTTGTTATTGCTGGGGACTCTGCAGCGCATTTAATGTGCACAGTCTTGTTTGTAAGATATTTCCGAAAAGCTACATCTTAGTATCCTTGAAGGAACCCTAGTGTGGTCAGGGCCCATTTTTAGTGCTTAACTGTACTCATGGCCAGTATGTTTAGTCTGCATGCCTGCTTACTTCCCCTGAGCTCAAACTCCACCCAAATCCGATTCCTTCTGGAAGAAAAGATTAAACATAATAATTGACATTATTAACATATAATTGACACCTAAAAGTCAGAATCTGATAGCATCAGTTAATCTAAGCAGTAATATTTCATTGTCTCATATTTTTCTGAATTTTTTGATTTATAGGTAAATGGTGTGTATGCATATGTACTTAGGTGTTGTATAATAACTTTCAATATAATGTATATTTTACATTGATTAACTCAGAGTAATTAGCATATCCATCACCTTGAATGTTCATTTCATGGTAAAATCATTCAAAATCTCCTTTTCTGGCCTTTTTGAACTATGTACTGCATTATTGTTAGATTTAGTTGCCCTGCTGTTTAATTCCTAAGTTAGCAGTAAAAATCAAAACACACACATGCAGTCTGCTGAAGTACCTCCTGAGTCTGGACTCAGGGTTTTCTGCTTTCTGTCCTCCCTCCTTGCGGCATTGCCTAGCAGAATTTTGAGGAAACTAGTTTGCCATGTGTCAAGCAAATCCTTCCACTATAATCAGTATTGTCTTATGGGTGAGGAAATGGAAAGTCAGAGACGTAAATGACTTCTGGGAGACCACACAGCTAGTAGTGGATAGAGCTGAGATTTAAACTGGGGTGTGCTTGACTTCAAAGCCTGTGGTGTGGATTTCATGCCTACAGAAGGTAATTTCGGTAGTAATATCAAGGAGAAAGTGTTACCACTTTCAACACCTAATATTTTGAAATCTGATACATGTGAACAGTGGGCAAAGCATGTTGTGAGGAAGTTGCATGGAATGTGTGTAGAAGTTCAGTGGTTTTAAATTTTATTTCAAGTCATATTTCTCTTTTTCACCAAAACAAACAAACACAAAACTGTGTGTATGGTGGGAAGGACATGCCCGTCCTATAGTGCAGATGTGGAGGTCACAGAACAATGTAGGTTGGGTCTCTCCTCGGTCCCTGGGATGCATTACCTGGGATGGAACACAGGTTGTCTAGCATCTATGGCAAGTGACTTCTGTGCTATGCTATCTGTCTGCCTGGCATGTGAGTAAGTGTGTGGCTGCTGCATGCAAGATCCTGTAGCCTTTCTGCCTTTTCAGTCATGGTGCCCCTGCCTTGAGCTTTCTTATCCACGGACTTTGGACTTCAAAGTACATGATTTTTTTTTATAATGATTTTTAAAATCGCATTTGTTCTGTGTACTTAATGTGAAACTTGACGTCATCTCAAGTTTAATAGGACTGTTGGCATATACTTAACATTGTGGACACACTTTACCCTGTTTTAATTCTAGGAAAGGAAAAGTTGCTGTTCATAAAAATCTGCTACTCTCCCTTCAATTTAAAAATTTTTATTTTAAAAATAATTTTTAGACAGTATATTTTGATCATATTCTTTCTCCTCCTTGACTCCTCCCAGATATTCCCTAAGGAAAAGTTGCTGTTCATAAAAATCTGCTACTCTCCCTTCAATTTAAAATTTTTTATTTTAAAAATAATTTTTAGACAGTATATTTTCATCATATTCTTTCTCCTCCTTGACTCCTCCCAGATATTCCCTTCCTCACTACCCACTCAACTTTGTTATTTCTCTTTGTTTCAAAAAGGGAA